TAACTGGCAAAATCAAATCTTATCAATTCAATTCATGCTTTTCCGTGTTGAATTCGCGCCAACACCAAATCAAAACTATAAAACCCCATTTCATTTCTCATGAAGCGCTCAAAAAAGCTTCCAAATAAATCTATTTCTTCAGCTCTCAATTCTACTACTACTAAAAGTATACTCAAAGTGAGCTGATTTTAATGGATAATTTTAATAACTTGAGCCAATTCTCGGACCCTTATCCATTGGTGTGGAACAGTGATAGTACTACTCTGGAGTGTTACAAGGCTGAGAGCTCTTCTATGTCAGCTGATTCTGGATTGAGCCGAGCTTCGAATTCGGACGAGGAAGTGATTTTGGCGGCGAGCCGGCCGAAGAAGAGGGCGGGGAGGAGGGTGTTCAAGGAGACCAGGCACCCGGTGTACCGCGGGGTGCGGCGGAGAAACAACAACAAGTGGGTTTGCGAGCTCCGAGAGCCGAACAAGAAGACGAGGATATGGCTCGGGACGTACCCGACGGCGGAGATGGCGGCGCGTGCGCACGACGTGGCGGCCCTGGCCTTCCGGGGGCGGTCGGCCTGCCTCAATTTCGCGGACTCGACATGGCGGCTCCCGGCGCCTGCCTCGAGCGATGCTAATGATATCTGCGCGGCCGCAGCGGAGGCTGCGAAGGCATTCCGGCCTCGGGAATACGGCGGCGTTTTGGGGAGTAGTGAAGGGATGGTGGTGGAGAAGGAGGAGGAGAAGGGTGTGGAGGAGGAGCAGAGAGTGTTTTATTTGGATGAAGAGGAAGTGTTTTGCATGCCAAGTTTTTTTGCTGACCTGGCAGAAGGCCTACTTCTCCCTCCACCACCAAGTTATATGAGCTCGGATGATGTGGCGATTGATGCTGACGTGTCTCTGTGGAGTTATTCTATATGATGGATGATCATGTACCTGTAGATATAGCGTGCGTGACGTTTCAATTAAAAAGTTACATGTATGTTTTTTCTCTAATCCAAAATGGATTATATTTGACTTTTGAAGAGAAAAAAAAAGGATTAGATTTGAAATTGTAGGCGTGACAAAGAAATATGTTCTTTTTTGATGTGTTGTGTTGACGGTGTTTTCCGACAACTCGTAGTTATCTCTCCTAAAAACACCCGCGGTTCAATCAGAGACAGAAAACTGAAAAATAATGTAAGGGGACAACAATTTTATAGTGGTTCGGCAGTAATTCGTTACCTAATCCACTTGTGCATGCACTAATCTTTTAACAGATTACAAATTCTCTTTCTTTTACAATGAAGTGGTGTCTAACCCTTTTTCTGGGTTTTATTGGCTCTATTTATAGGCCTTTACATGTGAACGTGTATTCTCCGTTCCCAAGAAGGAAGCCATTCTCCGTCCTCGGTAATCGTGAGAGTAGGTGGGTTTCATGATGACTATCCCGGGGAATGCGGCTGATCCTTCCAATCTGCCGCCTGACCCTCTGACTTTTGCAGTAGCAGTCGAATAAGCACTCCCCTCTTCGAGTTGACAAGACAGCTGGTGGAGAGAGACGAGAGTGATACCCCGGCGCCGTGGCCTCCGGGCGCTGAGCCATCACGCCCGACGCCCCTTCCCATGCATGATCCCTCGGCATAGATAGGACGTTCCCTCGGCGCCAGCGACAGATCCTTTGCGAGCACTCCTCGGCGTCTGTTGTTTAAGAGGGTGGCCGATCTCTCGACCATGGTGTAACAATTACCCCCTAGGCCTGAACGTCGCGGCGCGACTTTCCGGGCTATGTAGCGTCAAGAATGCCGCGTGGAGATAGGGCTTTCTGTGAGTAAGGGCGGTTGTTCGAAGGCACAGGGCATCATTGCGGTTGGTTTCTCAAGCAGTGGAGCGGTCACGTCGATTGTATCAACTGTCACTTCTCTGTTTCCCTAGCGCCACGTGGGACTAGAAGGGTGAATCATCGCCGTCAAATCGAGTCCTTTCCTGTTGCTCCTTCCCCGACCGTTCGATCGTGCCTTCTCGGATCTACCGTCGGATGGGACCAAATCTGATCCTACGGTCGAGATCAGGAGGCCTTTGGACTCCTCAGGGACTTCCGGACCTTTCCTCTGGCGGGTATATATACCCCCATGCCTCCATTTTCCTGACCACCGAGCTTTCTGGACGTCGTTACTCTGCCGGATTTTCGCCCGAGCTCTTGCTTCCGCGCCCCCTTCCGTATTTGGACCATCTTTTGATCTCAGAATCCGGTAAGTCTTCGTTCCCCTTGCTCTTCCCGTAGGTCCGGTCCCATTGTTTGTGGTAGTTGCGTCAAGACACACTATGAGAAGGGAATGTGGTCTTGCCTGGTGCCACCGGCATTGTGCCGACGGCAGAGCCTACACTGCTTGACCCGCCTAATCGCCGCTGAGGCCGCCAGACTTGGCTTTGTGCCTCTGGGTCTCGCGGCACATTATACCCGTCCTCCTGTCCTACACTTTTGGCCTCTCGACCACTAGGAGCTAACTCGCCCCCTTGATTGCCTTTTTCCAGAACATGTCGTCGAAGCAGACTAGAGGTCGAGAGGTCGACGAGCACAGGGTCAGAGAAGATCCCGAAGATGCCGCGACTTCGAGCACATCTTCGGGTGGAAGCGAGGATTCCTTGCTTCGTCAAGTCGAGGAGTATACTGAGGCGTCAGCCTCAAACCCTCAGAAGGATGTACTCGTACTCCTCGACGATGAGGGTGCTAACCCGCATGCCGGTCCGCCTGGGGACCGAGGGTATGGGGCGGCGCCGACGAACACTCTTTCGGGGCTGGCGACGGACCTCGACCCGTCGAAGATTAGGCCCCACGCCGCTAGGAAGGCGTTCACCAACGCAGGGATTGACCCCCAGCATTTTTACCTTATCATTCCGACCCCCACCGACAGGGCTCATAACCCTCCCCGCGGTCACATGACTGTGTATACCCAAGCGCTCACCTTCGGGATGACTCTTCCCTTCCATCCGTTCGTGAAGGCCGTCTGCAGCCTCCACAGGATTTCTCCCGCGCAGTTGTCTCCCAATTGTTGGGTGATAATAAACTCCATGATGATACTATGGAGGAAATTTTTGAGCCTTGATCTAACCGTTGAGGAGTTCTTGCACTACTACTCCCTCCGGGCCCCCCCTAACCAAAGGGGATTCTTTTACATAGCCTCCCATGCTAAGTCGAAACCTCCTGTCCCCCCCGTGGTCATCGGGAAGACCACCAGCGCTCACGAGTGGAAACCCCAATTTTTCTTCCTCGGGGGGAATTTTAATTCTCACCCCCTCGACGGCGATCGACCGTTAGGGACTCAGACAGTATTCAGCAAATACTGTAGGTTCCCTCGCTTTTCCCTCTCTTATGAGATCTTTGTGCCGCTGTCGAGGTTTCTGTTACTTACTGTTTGCCGTTCGCAGGTGACGAAGTCGATCGCCCAAGGCTCTCTTCAGCCACCCTCGATCGCGTCGAGAAGATATTGTCCCTTTCTCCTGATCGTCGACGTGCCTCGGTTCTCAACACAAAAAGAACCGCCTGCTGTACGGCCTTGTCGTAGATCTTCCTCGCCTGAGTCGACCCGTAGTCCCTCCTGCGGATCTCCTCGACGGTAGGTTCGCTCTTCCCCTTCAATTTCTTTAGTAGAGACCCGGGGGTGTAGTCGAGGTATCCCTAATTTGGTCTCTTCTTTTCCGCGTAGCCGTGCCATCCGAGATGAAGTACAACATCCTCGTCAAGCCGAAGAAGAGTACGACCGGTGCGGGATCGAGCGGGACGTCGAGTCAGCGCACAGCCGAGGCTGTTGTCTCGCTAGGCGTCACTGTGACCCCTAGAAAGGGGGTATTCGTGATTGAACCCCTCCCCCGAAGAGGCAAAAGGTGTCTGAACCGCGGGCGCCTCCTGTAGTCGTGGGGCCTTCCGGGCCAGGTCGGCGCTTTGGGAAGAACAAAGGTGCCGAGGTCGCGGCGAACTTGCGGTTCCGCCCCCTCCCCCTAAGCCTATCCTACTCCCGGGGTTGAAGGTTGATGACCCCTCGTTCCTTGTGCCCGACGTTGTCAACCTCGACTTCACTCACGCCTTGCGCCTCCCGCCTCGCTTCAGCCTTCCTCTGCAGGCCATATACACCTTCTTTCACGAGGACACTTGGGATGTTTTTGCCGGGGAGAGCATCCTGGATCGGCAGCGCCTGACCGTAAAGCGTCAACTCTCGGTAAGCCTCGACTTCGACTTTCATCACTACTCCTGCTTGTATGCAGTAGTCCTTTTCTTTTTATTTGGGTTTCTCCATCTTGACCGTATTCCTTCTTTCCTTCAGAATTCAGGCCCTTGAGCTTGCTTTTCAGAATTACGTAGAGCTGGAGGCCCTTCTCAAGGGGGAGAGGACGTCGGCGGCCGCCGAGAAAGAGATCACCGCCCTTCGTGCAGTTCGAGACGAGCTCTCGATGGACTTAGAGGTCGAGAAGGCCAAGGTACAGTCCCACCAGGATAGTATCTCCAACGAGAAGTCTAGCAGCTACAAGGAAGGCTTCAAGGAGGGGAGCTCTAAGGGGGTCGAGGCATACCTCTCATCTCCGGAGTTCCAGCAGCGGCAAAAAGAGATCACTTCCAAAGCCATCTCGGACTTCCTGGCCTCTGAGGACTTTCGCCGCGTTGTCGACGCCAGGCTTGACGCCTTCAAAGAGTCCCAGGAGCTCAAGGACTTAATCGAGGGCCACGTACAACAGTTCAAATCCTCGGCGGCCTTCGAGGAGCTCGTCAACCAAAGGCTCGAGGCCTACCAGGCTTCCGCCGAATTTGAAGAGTTTCAACTGTCCCTGATGCAGTCTGCGGGGGAACAAATCCTCGACCGCTTCCGCCAGAAACGTCCGGACGTCAACCTATCCTTCTTGGACGAGTTAGACAGTGAGGGCATGAAGGTGGTCGAGCCGGCGCTGGGGGCCGAGGGTGTCGACTAGGCGCAAAGCGGGAGGGGCAGGCTGCGGGCGGTGACGGCGAGTAAGGAGGAGACTTCAGCTGGGGCCTTCTGTTGTGTAGTTTTTTTTTTTTTGCAGGGCCGTGAGGCCCAGATAATATGTTTGATAATTTGTAACGGCCATAAGGTCGAGACAAGCTTTTATTATTTTTATTTTTCTTCTATGCACTTATGCTTATTCCATTATTACGTTGTGTGGAAAAAAAATTTTTCTTTGCTAAGTGTAGGCTCGACTACCTTTTTTTTGTTGGGGGGCCTCACTGTTGGGCCTTAATACCCCCTTGCCAGAGTTGAGTTTTTGAAGTCGGCTCTGGCGTGCCACTGTCAATGCTTCGATGTAGATAGTAGAATGTGAAGAGCGTAGAAAATCTGCTAGTTGCTCTAGCATGGTTGGGCCAGAGCCCTACGTCTTTGCAAGTTCGTGGGGGGGCTCATATTGCCCCTTGCCAAGAACAAGGCCTGGACTTGTTTTCGGCGCATCGTCGTCGACGTATCGACAACTTTAGTCGACGTATCGACGTTAGTAGAAGATGATCATACCCGCAAAGAAGTAAGAAGAATCGGTCGACGTGTCGACGTATATTTATTCGTGTATAAGTTACAAGTTGGCTTTTCAGCCTGCCAGAACTGGGGAATGAAGGAACAAAAGTAGAAGACATTTAGTCTGCCCTGTTAGCTCGACGCTCCTCGTGACTATTGGTAGTAGACCTTCAGCTGGTCCGCATTCCAAGTGTGCTTAATGCTTTGACCGTCGAGCTCTGCCAATCGATACGACCCATTAGCAACAACCTCTTTTATTCTGTAGGGTCCTTACCAGGTCGGTCCCAAGGCTCCGGAGTTCTTAGGTTTTGTGTTGGGCATTACTACCCGTAAAACTAGGTCCCCGACCCCAAAGTGCTTTGGCTTGACCTTCTTATTATAATACCTGGCTGTTCTGGGTTGGTAGGCGGCGAGCCGTAGTTGTACGTCTGTGCGCCGTTCTTCCAAGAGGTCAAGCCCCAAGTTCATCAGTTCGGCGTTCCTATCCTCCTCGTACCAGGTCACCCGGTTGGTCGGAATGGACACCTCGACTGGCAGTACTGCTTCGAACCCATAGGCCATTGAGAATGGGGTTTCCCCCGTAGTAGTCCTGCTCGTTGTTCGGTAGGCCCACAGCACTTTTGGCAACTCGTCGGCCCATTTCCCTTTGTAGGCGTCGAGGCGGCGCTTGAGAGTGATTTTAATTATCTTGTTGACCACCTCGACCTGC